ACTCATGATGCAGTATGACCAATTACAAAGAAAGGTACCACATCTAGATCTAAAGTTTGAATTACATAAAATTTCAAAACCCAAAGAGCATGTGGTCAGCAATGCCCAACTTATTTCAAAAATTAAACCTTAATGTAAGATTTATCCTCAGAATGTCACATGAGTGATGACAGCATTAGCAGTTATCTCAGAGAGGAAAATAGTGAAGTAGGAAATGGACATCTAGGGCTGGGTATGGAGTCCACAGAATAGTGCCAGCACCTGGTAGGCAGAGGCAGAAGGGTCAGAGAAGCTCAAAGTCAGCCAGTATCCTCATTCAGTCCTTACTTCAAGAAAAAAGTTAATATCTAGCCAAGAATTGTTCATAAGTGAATACATTTCACAGTCAATCAACATATAAGAGGACACTAAGAAAATGAACTATAAATCCACTTTTGGAGAAAAAAAATTCTTTTAAAATTTTTGCCTCAAACAACTGAAAAACAATTTAAGCTTAAGAGATCAAGAATGAAAAATCAACTTAGACATGTATTCAACATAAAATTTGAAACTGGGTGAAATGTGAAACAATTAACAATACCTCCTAAAGATATAACACAAAGCAAAATATAGAGGAAAATGCATTTGAATCCCATATTGTATTAAACTTCCCAGTTCTCTAAAGGGAGACCAGCATACACATGTGCAATTCACTCAGCAAAAGAGAAAAGCTAAGTAAGTGAAACCAACAGCCTTGGTGCCTCGAAGGCGGGTAATTAGGAAACTGGGAAAGAGGAGCAAGAAGGAAATCGTTACTGGGCTGGGGCAGAACTCAGCTGGTAGAGTGTTTTCCCTGTACCATACTACATAGCAAGTCTGAGGGTAGCTGGGGGTACATGAGTCCCTGTGTCCACATGTGTAGCACAGGCATTGAAACCAACAACTGAGAAATGGGACCTCATAAAGCTAAAATGTTTCTGTACAGCAAAGGGCAGCATCAGTCCAGTGAGGAGGGAGCCTAAAGAATGGGAAAGAAGTCTTTAGCAGCTATACAGCTAACAAAGGGTTAATGTTCAGCATACATACACCAAGATTTCAAAAAACTAAACACCAATTGGGAGGTTTGTACCCAATTTAAAACTGGGGCATGAAATTAAAACAGAATTTTCAAAAGAAAAAATACAAATGGCTGAGAAATATTTTAAACATTCTTGACCATGAGAGGAATACAAATTTAAACTATTTTGAGATTTCATCCTACCCAAGTTACAATAACTAAGATTAAAAAAAAAAAAGACAACAAATACTGGCTTGGATGTAGGAAGGAGGAACACTTATTCACTGTTGGCGAGAGTGCAAACTGGTGTAGCCTTTGTAAAGTAAGTGTAGAGGTTCCTCAAAAAGCTAGAAATAAATCTACCATATGATCCAGCTGAATGACTCCCAAGACTATTCCCAAAGGACTCTATAGCCACAAAACAGTGAAAGCATAGATGTCCATCAACTGACGAATGGATACTGGAAATGTGGTACATTTACACAATGGACTGTTATTCATTTGTAAAAAAAAAAAAATTATAAAATCTGCACATAAATGGATAGAGCTATAAATAAACATTCTGAGTGAGGTTACAGACCAGAAATACAAACATTGCATGTTCTTTCTCTTGTGTGGATGATAGCTGTGAACACTCAGATATGCATGCTTAGATTAGAGTACCCATAGAAGTCAGGAAACTAATAAGCAACCATGGGGGAGGATATCAAGGAAAAGAGGAAAGAATGCAGGCAGTATGAAGGGGGAAGGGAAATGCTGGAACAGAAGGGTTGAACGTGGTGAAAGTGGAAAGACAGAGTGGAGAAGGGAGTACAGGAAGGATGAGAAACAAAAAAAAAGTCCTTTGAAAAGCCATTGAAACCTATTACTGCAGGATTTATATATATATATATATATATATATATATATATATATATATGTATGTATGTATGTATACACACACACTTTTTTTCTTATAAACATACAAGAGGTTTAGAGGAAGTTACCCTAAAACAGGGAACATTGCTTCCCCCAGATACCATAGACTCAAATAAAAAGCCCACTGCTAGAATAGGTTATCTCTCTTTTAGTTGTCAGTGGAGTCCCATAGATCCCCAAACAGTGCAGGCTATTGTTATTACTCTAGGTTACCTTCCAGAACTTTATGGTAAGGCCATGTTGCTGAAGATATTATATATCTGATTCATAGAACATGGCAAAATCAAGCTGGTACTGATCTGGAAGATCCATCCCTTCTGGCTAGCTTCCATAGTGCTGGAAAGTTCTGTGCACACTACAGGGGGAGAAAAAGAATCAACAGTCTTACCCAGCTTGAAGCCTGTGAGCTACTGTAATCCAGCTGTGGTATGGAAAGACACTCTTACTGCTGTAAGAGTATCACAAATGCTACAGGAGCAACCAACCACTTTCTGACTGCATTTAAAGCCTACTCCACAGAATGGAACCCATGCCTTGTACCTTTAACTGGGATTAAAAACCCATGGGTGGCTGTCATAACTCCTAAAGAAGAACCTAGTACTATCATTCTGCTAAATGGACATAGTAATAAACTGTCCCTAAGCAATTATCTCTGTGCTCATGGATTAATGCATTTGTCAACTCTCATCAGAGAAGCTTCTTTTTACAGCGCAGAGACTTACAACCAGTCAATGTGCACAGAATAAAAAATGGGACATGTATATCACATCTCCTCCCTGCAAGGCTCAGGGATTATCTTGGAAGAAGTCAAGGACAGATTGTAGAACCAAAGGAAATGGATGTCTGCAACAAAACGGTGTTTGCTGATCATGATAGTGTAGGATACCTGAACTCACAGCACCTGAACTCATAACCTGCAGAAAACCAAGCCAGCCAAAAATGGCAGCATGGATTGGGGAGGAGCAAAGGAAGTCCCACCCCTAGCTGAGGAGCTTCTGGCAATTGATGGCTGCTAGGAGAGGGAGAGTCCATTTTCTTCAGGGATATGGCCCCTGAGAGGCTGCCCATGCTCCAGTAGCTCGTCCCACACCCATGCACACACAGGGAGCACTAAATAGATATAGTGGGAGGGAAAAGCAGGGGGGCAGGAATTGGATGGATGGGATAAGGGGGTGCATTTGATCAAAATACAAACATGCATGTATGAAATTCTTCAATAATTAAAAAATGGTATATGCATGGGCAAAGGCTGTCTCAAGTGGACCGCAATGAAAGTGTTAAACTCCACTCCAAATTTTGAAAAGAAAAAGAGACTTTTATGTCCTGTGTTCATTTGTAAATATATTACCTAAAGTTTCTATATTTAAAACTAAAAATGTTAAGCTCAAGAATCTGGTACATATGCAACAAGTCTAACCTATGATGAAGCAGATGTCATAAATCATATCAGATAAATTCAGCAACTCTGAGGCTTTCTATGTGGAAATTAGGTAATGATTTAGATTATCAAGCTAAAGTGGACCCTTGCCTGACCCATGAGCACCATTCTACAAGTCACAGATTATCAGCATTAGGTAAGATACCATGATCTGGAAAATACTGTGGGTTACATGACACAGCCTAGACATGCCCCAATTCAGACCCCACTGTGGTGACATATTGTGTACCCTAATAAACTTGCCTGAAGATCAGAGGACAGAACCAGCCACTAGATTAGACATAGAGGTCAGGCTGTGGTGGCACACACCTTTAATCCTATCACTTGGGAGGCAGAGATCCGTCTGGATCTCTGTGAGTTCAAAACCACCCTGGACTACATGAGATTGATCCAGTATAGGAGATAAACAGAGCTAGGCAGTGGTAGCACACATCTTTAATCCTAGCACTTGAGATCTCATGCCTTTGCTTGGGAAGCACACATGCCTTTAATCCCAGGAAGTAATATGGCAGGGCAGAGAAAGGTATATAAGGCATGAGGAAACAGGAACTCACTCTCTTTAGGCTGAGGATTTTGTAGAGGTAAGAACTAGTGGCTGGCTGTTCTGCTTCTCTGATCTTTCAGCTTTCATCCTGGGTTTTTTATTAAAAGACCATTTAAGACTCAAACAACACCCTACCACTTATTCATTCATCCAATCATCTCTTTGGGAATCTAATACAACCATATTGATAACAGGAAAATGATCTGGTGATCAAAATAACCACCAATGTGAGAGTCAGGCAGATTCTGATGTACTCAGACAATTAAAAAATGCTAACATTTTAAATTATATTTCTAAAATGTGTAGCAACCTGAAGTATTGTTCAATGTACACTATTAACAAGAAAAGCAGATGGCACTATTGCCCACCATAATGACAATTCAGTACCTCTTGATACACATGGGTCTTAAGTACTGGGGGTGATGCAACATGTAAGCAGTCATTCTTTACAAATTATTTCATTCTGGTTTCTAACTTTTTATATATTTTCAAGTTTCTCTGTTAAGTACGTGGAAGGGGACACCATATTTTACAATAAGAAATGGTACTTTTTCTTGGCATCAGCATGCTGAAGACATCAAATGGACAGTGGTGACTGAACAAGCAAGTACCTCACAAAAGACCCGGGTGATGTGTTGGCTCTTACCACCATCTTCCTAACGCACCCTGAGTTCAGGTTTCCAAGTCCAGCAACCTGGCTAGCCTGAGTACTACCTTTCAGAAAAACAGACAACCACATATGGATACCACATCCAAACCACACATAGCTCAACTCTAATGTGTTTCCATGACATACTTGCCTATCCAGGAAGTCTTCAACCAAGACCACCCACTTTTGTTCCACAAACCATCACCATCTACGAATTGGTAACTTTGTCATGGAGAGTCTGGAACCCCATACCCAGACTCCCAAGTGCCCCTCCCCAACCCTGTGTGTCTTCTGGCAGGGTTTTTGTTCCAACCTCACCAGCAAAGCTGCTCCTCAGAGGCTATAGCACAGCTGATGGGTCCCTGGGTCCAGTGTGTGCATCACACCCCAATAAGAAAGAACACATACACAGTACCTTCTCGAAGTGGGGTGGGCTTGGCAGAATTTTCCCCACTCATTAAAACAACAAAAGATGCAGCTGCTCGAACTGTAGCCTGCCATGTTGACATGGCAACAGGTGGTTCCTGGCATGGAAAAAGGGCCCTGTTGTTGATGGGGGATCCCATAGTATAAAGACACGGCCTGCAGAAGAAAGACAAAGACAGAGGAGGGAAGAATCTTTAAAATGAGTTGTCATTGATCACACCACCATGGCAGAAAGGTCATGTTGAGCTTTCCAAGTAGAAACATTTGAGGCTTTGTAGCTGACTCACATTGAACTGAACATGCTAAGGGCCTGCTGTGTCAATAGCTCAATGGTTATTCCTCCCAAAGGAATCAAATGTGTGAAAGGGTATGTGTGTCAGGGGTAGTATGGTGTGTGTGTGTGTGTGTGTGTGTGTGTGTGTGTGTGTGTGTGTGTGTGTGTGTGTGTGTGTGTGTGTTTTAAGAGAAAAAATTTGGATAAGGTTTTAAATACTATTCTGTGAAGTTATAATTTATGCTCCCCTTAGGCCTTTCTGCCTTCAAAGGAAAAAAGTTTCAGTGACATTCTTACAGACTTTTTGGAAAGTATTTTGGAAAAGAAAACAAGGCTGGAGATCTCTGTGATTATTAATCTTGGAAAAACAAGCGGTGGTCTCAAAGCCAGTGTTGGCAGGCAGACCCTCCCGGTCCTGGAAAATGCCTTCTCAGATGGAGCCCTTGTGGGGATCCTTGTGTGGAAGCCAAGAACAGGGCTTGGCACAAACAGAATGGTAGAGGTCACAGCAGCCAGGCTTGGAAGACCATAGGAACAAGCACATTACCAAAGCAAGGTATGAAACCAACAGCATGAGTTAGGACTCAGTCACTCCAAGTATAAATCCTCCCAAACCAAGCAGAAACTCTTTTTATAATTAAGTCACAGTTAACAGGGATGGTAAAGACCTGCAAAAATCAGAGTATTCCATTCTTATGCCACAGAGAAGGCACACCACTGACTCCTCAGGAAAAGAATTTAGGAAAAGAATGGCACTCTTTTTTTGTTTTGTTTTGTTTTGAGTTATGACAAATGTCAATTAAGCAGCTTGACTTACAATGTAAATGAACCAGCTACTAGTTGTTCCACATAAACTGTTTTCATAGACATCATTATGATTGAACATTAATCTGTCTGCACGATATATGAAAGAACACACAAGAGGATGGCTTTCCTCTATCATCAAGGCCCAGTAAAGAAAAGAGAAGGCAAGGTAGGGTCTAGAAAGCAGAGATAACAAACCAGAGAACTGTAACACGAATGATAGAGGGGAGAAACCAAGCAGGGGAGACGAGGCAAGTCAGGAGCTGTGTTCATAGAACAGGCAAAGGAAAACCAGCCATCGAACCCCAACATGCTTGCTATTCACCTTAAAGAGCATTGTAACAGAGAATCTGCAGGAAACAGCTCAGAACCATGTAGTCATTCTCTGCTGACTACCATGCAGAATGGTCTTTTCAGGAGAGAAGGAGATAATTTCTGGTTTGGAAGGTTCCAAGTTTGCCTCTTCCCATCAAATCAATCTTTGTTAGAGGCTTTGATCAGCAATCAGCAACTAGAGAGCTGACTATAGGAGAAATGGGGTTGTGTGGCTTAATGGGGCCTTTCTAAAATGAGGCCAATGGCCAGACTAGGAGTCACAAACACAGGAGTTCAGCCAGAACTATCTAGAAGCTTCCAAGGGTTACAAAGTATCCAGGCTTCCGATTTATTTCCATTTATTATTGTATCTAATACTTTTACAACCTGGGGTTTCAACAAAGCTGTGATACAGTCTCCACTAGTGGCTACAGTGGGCAAACCTCTTGCTTTCTTTTGCCACACAGTGAAATCCAACATTTCTTTTTTATTTTTATTTAATTTTTTAAATTTTTATTTTGCAATACAATTCAGTTCTACATATCAGCCACGGATTCCCTTGTTCTCCCCCCTCCCGCCCCCCTCACCTTCCCCCCAGCCGGCCCCCCATTCCCATCTCCTCCAGGGCAAAGCCTTCCCCACAGACTGAGATCAACCTGGTAGACTCAGTCCAGGCAGGTCCAGTCCCCTCCTCCCAGGCCGAGCCAAGCGATGCTGCATAGGCCCCAGGTTTCAAACAGCCAACTCATGCAATGAGCACAGGACCCGGTCCCACTGCCTGGATGCCTCCCAAACAGATCAAGCCAATTGACTGTCTCACCCATTTAGAGGGCCTGATCCCATTGGTGACCCCTCAGTCATTGGTTCATAGTTCATGTGTTTCCATTCGTTTGGCTATTTGTCCCTGTGCTTTATCCATCCTTGGTCTCAACAATTCTCGCTCATATAAACCCTCCTCATTCTCGCTAATTGGACTCCCAGAGATCCACCCAGGGCCTAGCCATGGATCTCTGCATCCAGATCCGTCAGTCGTTGGATGAGGTTTCTAGCACGACAATTAGGGTGTTTGGCCATCCCATCACCAGAGTAGGTCAGTTCGGGCTGTCTCTCGACCATTGCCTGCAGTCTGTTGTGGGGGTATTTTTGTGGATTTCTGTGGGCCTCTCTAGCACTTTGCTTCTTCCTATTCTCATGTGGTCTTCATTTACCATGGTCTCCTATTCCTTGTTCTCCCTCTCTGTTGTTGATCCAGCTGGGATCTCCCGCTCCCCCAAGCTCTCTTTCCCTCGACCCTCGCCCTTCACTAACCCCACTCATGTCCAGGCTGTTCATGTAGATCTCATTCCATTTCTCTGTCATTGGGCGATCCCCGTGTCTTTCTTGGGGTCTTGTTTTCCAGGTAGCCTCCCTGGTGATGTGAGTAGCAGTCCAGTCATCCTTGTTCCACATCTAGTATCCTCCTATGAGTGAGTACATACCATGTTTGTCTTTCTGAGTCTGGGTTACCTCACTCAGGATGATTTTTTTCTAGATCCATCCATTTGTCTGCAAACCTCATGATGTCATTGTTTTTCTCTGCTGAGTAGTATTCCATTGTGTATATGTACCACATTTTGTTTATCCATTCTTCAGTTGAAGGGCATCTAGGTTGTTTCCATGTTCTGGCTATTACAAACAATGCTGATATGAACATAGCTGAACAAGTGCTCTTGTGGTGTGGTTGAGCATTCCTTGGGTATATGCCCAAGAGTGGTATAGCTGGATCTTGGGGGAGATGGATTCCCAATTTTCTAAGAAAGTGCCATATTGATTTCCAAGTGGTTGTACAAGCTTGCATTCCCACCAGCAGTGGAGACGAGTTCCCCTAGCTCCACATCCTCTCCAGCATAAGGTGTCTTCAAACTGAGAAGCTTTTGTAGAGCAAAGGATACGGTCAACAAGGCAAAGTGACAGCCTACAGAATGGGAAAAGATCTTCACCAACCCCACATCTGACAGAGGACTGATATCAGGAATATATAAGGAACTCAAGAAATTAGACATCAAAATGCCCAACAGTCCAATTAAGAAATGGGCTATAGAACTAAACAGAGAATTCTCAACAGAGGAACTCAAATGGCTGAAAGACATTTAAGGAACTGCTCAACATCCCTAATCATCAGGGAAATGCAAATCAAAACAACTCTGAGATACCACCTTATGCCTGTCAGAATGGCTAAGATCAAAATCCAACATTTCTAGTAGAGGAAGTTCCATCAATGATGGCCTCCTCTGCCCTCCTCTTTAATTCCATTTCATGGTACCATTACCAAACCCAGAACTGATCAGTATCTTCTAGATAGCAAGTCTAAGGACACTGTTGCTTTGAAATGGACAGGACTTCCTCAAGAGAGGCATTTTTCATGTAGAATAGGCAAGCTCCCTGCAAGGGCAAAGGCAAGCTTTGGTCTTTGGAAGCCCCTCTTGGGGTCAGGTGGGGATGTGGAGATCCTTTCAGGGAATCTTCTCACATTACACATAAAGAAACTAGGGTCTGGTTGTAAATGACTTGGCTACAGTTGCTTGACTTGTTGGCAGCATAGCTACAACCAGCACTCTCAAATGTCTAGGCTCTTGCCTTCCAATTTTACAATATACTACACTAATCCTTGGTTATATAGGCCACTGTTATTTGTTATTTTCTGTTGATACTTGATTCCTTTAGGTTGAGCTTGGGGAATCCTGCTGAAGAGATTGTATGAGCCAGAAGGGTCAAGGACATCACAAGAAAACCCACAGAATCAACTAACCTGGGCTTACAGGAGCTCTCAGAGTCTGAACTGAAAACCAGGGAGCCTCCATGGAACTGATCTAGGCCCTCTATATTTATATGTGACAGTTATGTAGCTTGGTATACTTGTGGGACTCCTAACAATGGGAGCACGGGCTGTCCCTAACACTTTGGCTGACTCTTGGGACCCTATTCCTCATACTGGGTTGCCTTGCCCAGCCTTAATACAAGGGGAGGTGTTTAGTCCTACAGCAACTTGATATGTCATGTTTTGTTGATCCATGGGAGGCCTGCCTCTTTCTGAACAGAAACTGTGGAGTGGACTCGGGAGAGGGACAAAGGGGAGGTGAGGGAAGGGAATGGGAAGAGAAGAGGGAGGAGAACTGTGGTTAGAATGTAAAATAAATAAATAAATTTAATTAATAAAAAGATAGTTTTAGCTAGGTGTGGTGGTGCATGTCTTCAATCCAAGCATTTTAGAGGCCAACCTGGTCTACCAGGACAGACAGGGCTACGTAGAGAGACCCTGTCTCAAAAACAAAGGTTTTTTGTTTGTTTGTTTGTTTTTTAATTTTGTGGTCTTTTAAGACAGGATTACCTCCCTGTGACTCAGGATGGCCTTGAACTTACAGAGCCCTGCCTGTCCCTTCCTTCCCTGTGCTGGGATTTAAAGGTGTGTGCCACCACACTGACTCAAATTTCTTTTAAAAAGCAAAGGACATTATCAAATTAAGGAAGAGGGAGGCCAGAGATGGAAAACATATTTATCAGCTATACATCTGACAGAGGGTGCCTATAACATACAAAAAACTAAAAACAAAATGCGGCTGAGAAATAAATATTTAATATCCTTAGCCATAAGAGAAATAAAATTTAAACTACTTTGAGATTTAATCTTACCCAAGTCAGAATGACAAAAGAAAAAAGAAAAGAAAGAAAGGAAGAAAAAGAAAAAGTCAACAAATGCTTGTTAGAGTATGGGAAAGGGAACACT